TAAGTTATTTCTTACATGGGAGATTTTCCTCAGTAGTATCTTCCAGGTGGCAGAGAAGGATCCCATCCAAAAATGCAGTGGACAAGCCTAGAAGCTATGAAGCACAGCAAGTCTTAGCCAGAACAGTGGAAGGGAAATTGAAATGTTGTATGGTTGTAAGAAGACACTGTTACCTTGCATTATACCTGAAAAGACACAGTATTATCTTTGTCTTAAATTCTGTTTATAACGCATGTAGATTAGCACAAAGTGCACTATTAAATAGTCTTTGCAGTAGCCTGTACTGTTGTATTGGGATTCACAGTGCGGAGGGGCTGACTGAAAATAACCACAGGCTTTAGTAGTTTTTGTAATCGTGAGAATCTTGCCATTTAGGTATATTATGGATATCCTGACAAGGTTCCTTGGGTGAATTTGATATCTTTTATTAGACCATTAGAATATTTATTAAGCAAGCTTTCGGGTTCAAAAACCCTTCGTCAGGCTGAGGAAGCTTCAGCAGTTGGTGTGTGCTCTTCCTGGATGGAATGAAAAGTAAAGAAGCCAGGGGCTGGGCTGGGCTGGGCTGGGGAGTCAGTTGCCAGGCAGATTATAATGTATCAAAAACCCTTTCATGTAAGCAATTTGTTTCCAGTTCTTGTTTGTATTTGAAAATGTAAATTTAATTAAAAGCATAGAGCACTGGTCAAATGGTTATCCAAAATTTTTTTGTCTTTTCTTTTTCTGTATCCTCCAGTACAATAAAAAATGTCTGCCACTAGGGTATGTGCAGGGGGGAGGAAGGGTCTTTTAATGTGTAAGGACATGGGTACAGTAGTCTGTTGATTGGATGGAAAATGACCATGAACAAGGCAGAGACCATCATATTTAGTCCATTTGGTAAGACTTATTGTTTTGCGACACTTCAGCTGCTGATACTAAGGTGTTTTGAGGCTGCTGTGGATTGGGGAGTGGGCATGTCATAAAGTCCCTCCTTGCCCCCCCCCTCCAATCATCTTTATTATTTTCGCAGTGCTGCTTCTGGTATAGGAGTGGCCATCTCTTGGTAATGCCCCACGTGCATTCATTCATAGCCACTCGGAGATCCTTGCATTCTGGTGATTGGTTAATATGGAACTGGGCATACTTCTTCTGCAGTGGATTGCAGGTATGCAAGCTACTTGAAAGCTGAAATCGTGAAGGTGCACATTTGAACACGTGCCAGTATTTTAAACAGGAAGAGGACATATGAGCAAGATGACTTCAGAGCAGTGGAGGGCCCACAAGTAAATAAGTAGGCAGGTTGGTACAGTGCAGTTTGGGATGGCAATGAGGACACTGAAGTGATACAGTTTGCTTGGACTGGGCATGTATCTACACCCATTTACAGTTGTAGAAGCCATTCTAGAATTCTGTTGCTTCCAAAATGGGTTAATGAAAGCAAGATAAGATGGGAGTGGGAAGATGAGGAGGAGTGGAGAGAACTTGTGTGTGTGGATGCAAAGGAGTTTATACTATACAAACTAAAATTTTTAAATGGAAATAAATCCTTTCCTTTATAGACAGTGCCTGAAATGAAGGAATGTGTGTGCTGAATCAACCTGGGTTTTGCCTCTCTTGAAGTATGGGTCAACAAGGTGTCACCTAACTTTTTATTTTTAATCATTCCTTCCACTGTTTCCTCTCAGAAATGGTGCAAAGTAGGGGATTGTTTATATCAGTGATTGCTTAGAGGAGGGTGATATTGTTAGTGAATTGCTAGTTACTAGTTTATTGGTACTGTTAGTGATGCTGAAGTGGCTTGGGTTATGACCCTTTTTCTCTGTCTTCTGCTAATTTGTCATTCAAATTCTGGGTGGCTGACTTTTCATCTCTAAAAAATATGGTGTGGTCTGAGCAATGTTGAACCAGTTAAATATTTTGGATGAAAAACCTTTGGAATGTGTTGTCATAAAAATGGTAGCATTGGAGTGATATTGTAGCCAAGATGGTCCAGGAATTATGAAGGAAGGATTATTTTGGATATCTTTTATTGGACAAACTGCATTGTTGGGAGACATTTTTAGACAAGCTTTTGGGAAAAATATTTCTCGGATCTCTTGCCATAGAAAATATTTCCTGTTTCTGGTACGCATTGTGTAATCTTTTTAGACATGCTGTTTACAAATTCGTGATATTATGGTATCTCCCAACAATTTGTGTTGCTTTCTCTTGGATTTTCCAGATGTTTTTGGCTGTGTTGTAAAATATTTTTTCTTGGTTGGATCACTAGCTTATCAGGTTCCCATCAGTAGAGGATATTGGAATAGTATTTCCCATGGCTTTGCACTTGTTCCAGGAACTTGATATTGTAGCATCCTGCAAAAAAGCTCTCCAAAGCCTTTTATCTCTTCCATGTTCTATATATGAAGGTAGAGAGTTCTCTTCTCTTCCACTCAGAGGGCAAAAATACAAACCTGCCAACAACCCTCCCAAAAGCCAAGAAGGTTGAGTCCGGTCATCCAGCGGGTGTGGCTGCCCTGAGGGTGGATGAAATGCCTGGGGCTTTGGGATTGTGGCAGCCAAGTCATGATTCCCCAGACCCAAGGGTGCATGGGGTGCCTCTGTGGCTGGGAGCCCCTCAATTGAGGGGGCTTCCAGGTGCGAGAACTTGCTTCTTGCTGGTGCAGGGGCAGCCTGGCAATAAGGCACGACAAGTTCTAATGTGAAATCCCACAATCACACCTGCTGCCATGCATGTGTGGTGTTTTGTTTTTGTAGAATTTGGAACACTTTTCTCTTATGACCAGGGATCCTGGTTTTCTCTGATGTTAAAAAATTGCAAATTCTCTTATTTAAAAACCCAAAATCCATGATAAAAATTAAACGCCCCCCCCCC